AGAAAGTGAAAAGTCGCGTGTCGAGTTTCTGATTGGATGATTACTTATACTACTAAAATGTTTAGTGGCATTCCAGAATTTCCGGGACACCCACGGACATCTAAAATACCACAAAAACCCTAGATTTTCTGCACATAAACGAACCTTTGATTTAAAGCGTTTAATTCCATATTTCGTGCCTTTTTTCTCGTGTTCAATTCGCTGTGTAGATTTAGCCTGCGGTTATTAGAAGACCTTAGAACTGAATCTAGCGTTCAATTAGAAGACTTATCAGTTATGACAATGGGCTAGAGAGTAACTTTCCAGCTTCACTGCTGGTCTCGAGCAATAAAGCATTCTTGTAGTTTCCAAGGTGTCAGTAAACTCATCAGGACTACTCTCTACGAACAAATCTATGGAGCAGTTTATTCCAGCAAAAGACATCTGATTCTTGCTAGATATTTTTTCACACCACTGTCCAGAGAGTATAACAACGGTAACAATGTGGTGTGCTACTTATATTGACATAAGTAGTACATGAAGTTAGTCGTGAACAGAAGATTTTGGAGAAGAGCGACAAGAGGATCGAACAGTAAAGAACGGAGACAGGATGCAATTTGCAAGGAAATGCAAGAACAATGAAGTCTGAGTCATTCTGAGACAATTGGTGGACATTTTGCAAATTAAGCATTTACATTATGATTGTTAGATTTTATTAACAAGTCCTGTAATTTTGTGTCAAATACGTTCGATTGTCTCCACTGGTGTTCTTGTTCAATACATCAGATCTATACACATTTGCACGTAACACCTATTTTCAAATTTAGTTACTACAATAGTGTAATTTCAGAGTGATGAAGTACTAAATTTACCAAGACATTTACAATGAACTGTGTCACTACATTTCGTCAGTGTATGACAGGTTTGTTAACTTGGGTGTTTTCTGAAATTTAGTACTTGAATTTACTTTTAAATCACTAACTCGTTAGTATTAACAAGTTGTGCCAGAGAGGAAATTGAAGCCAATGTTACTGATAAGACAAGTCACTAGATTTGTTATTTTAAGTATTCTTTTCAGCGTTCTAGATAAATGTGGAAATTATTGATCGAAATGTACATATTATTCGGTTATTATTGAAATTAGGCATGTTTATTGCAATGGAAGGAGTAGTTTCCGCCAATTCTGTGGTTAGTATTGCATTACATAATGATAATATATCACGATACTCATTGAAAGAGTTGGAGTGTGGCTTTAGCATTAAATTACATGTAAAATAAGCCTAGCAAGCTTTGTGATTCTACTTGTTAGCCAATACTTTCATTTAGATTCTGAGTGTTTATTTCACGAGTTTAAGTTGCAGTAGCCTAGTTGTATTTTACTAAACTTGACTTTAAGATGCTAGCAATTGTACATTATCAGTTCGATTATGTTCACCAGGGTTGTTTATGAAGATTTTGCACTCCTTTCAATTGTTAGTTCTCTATATGGGTCTTTTGGATTTGGTTTACTATCCTTTTAAACTTTGTGCTTCATATTTGCAGTCATTTCTAATCGTATAATTCATTGTGATTTTTATTTTTCCATTAAACCGAAGTGTTATTCGTAAACAAGAAATTTGTACATCACTATCAGTTAAGCCAGAAATCATAGGATCCATTTCATTAGTAACTGTGGCAACACAGTTTGTAATGTCAACGCCTTATAAGGAAACGAGGATACTTATGAAAAAATCTCTATGTGATTGGATTATATGGTTTCAGTTTGAAAATATAGTAAATATAGAATGCCTAATATACTCTGAAGAAACAGCTTACATTAAGTTGATAAGCATCGGAGATTTAAATTTCCTACACGTTGGAATTCTACAAATATATAGTTAAATTTGTGTTTGTGTCAAATTCGTTTTTTGTAGTAAATAAATTCGAAACATCCAATATTATTCAGTGATTAAAAGTTGTTAGCAAAAATCTAATTCACCTCACTTATTATTTCACAGAATTAAATCTGTATGGTAATTTGTTCCCCTTTCGAGATTCAAGTTTACCTAGGTTTTTTATATTGTGTCGAAGAGTGTGTTTTCGAAGCTAGTTGAGAGAGTATAACCGATCAAGTGGGCTAGCGATCAACGAATTCACTATAAATGTACTTGACCAATTTACGACATCAGAATATCATATCACAATCGTATAATTGATAGTAGAAATTCCCGGAGCTGAATGTAAGATGGTTCCAATTTATTCTCTTTAATATTCTTTCACATTTAGAATCTCTGTGAACAAGATTATTGCGCATATTTAAATCGTATAATACGGCTAATTATGATGTAGCACTGTCCATGAACACATCGCTGAGAATGTTTGGGTAGATGAATTTGTTACTATCTCAACTTTGATGTATTTGTGTCGAAGCATAGACTTATTAATTGTAATATTCATCGTAATCCCAACGTTAGAATCCACACCCTATTGATTGTGCATAATCAAATCAAATATTGGTATCTTATTGGAGCTTCGGTAGACGTCGACATTATTTTATTTTCAAAAGAGAAGTGAGGGGTTATTCTTCACTCAAAAGGTATGAGGGATGTTTATCGTTTTGTTAACTAGATAAGAATTTGTTGGATTAATATAGCCACTTGCTTGGGAAGTGTAACTAAAGAAGTCTTACGTCACGTATTGCAGACATTTCGCAAATTTATCCGCTTATCAAACAGACCAAACTAGTTACCAGATTGGAAGCTGGTGCTCTGTAGAGAGTAAGTCTGTAGTGGCTGGTACTAAGGTTATTCTAGCTAATGACCAATTTATTTGAAATCATCAACTCGAACCTTGGTAACGCATACTTGTAAATTCTAACATTATATTTTGAGTAAGCTGGTGCTCTGTAGGGAGTAAGTCTGTAGTGGCTGGTACTAAGGTTATTCTAGCTAATGACCAATTTATTTGAAATCATCAACTCGAACCTTGGTAACGCATACTTGTAAATTCTAACATTATATTTTGAGTAAGCTATGAGACATTGGATTATTACAGCCACAATAAGAAACCATACAATCACCAATCAGGTTACAATACGAAATAGATCGGTTTTCAATAAACAAAAATTAATGTATGTAGTACGGTTTATTGAAATTTCTTGTCAGATCTCTAGAATATTGTAGGGTCTCTTCAATGTGCCTACGTACATTCTACACATGATTTATGTCTGCTAATTGAACGCTCGATCTGATTCCAAAACTTCTTCAAATACGGCGACTTGGACACAAAAGAAAATGTGAGAAGTTCGAAACCTAAAAATCAGTGATGAGAACTTATCGAACTCCCAAACTAAATAAAAAAGACTTATAAATGCACCACTTTTTAATGATTAATTTACAGTCAAGTCGGATTAGTTAAGTGAATTAGGCTGTACTTAACAATATTAATTCAATGACTTACTATGTGAGCGCATACTTACAATTAAGTATCTTTCTTAATACGTCACAAGACTGGACAAAAAAATCAATTTATTATGTTATTCTCACTTCAATTGATTAAACTACCACTTGTCACATCAATTTAAAAAGAGCATCTATCAAAAGACAACGCAAATATCAGTGAAACTTTCATCTACATAGTGGTCTCCTTGAATATTGGAGTGAAGATATTGGTTAGAAGGCACTGATTTCGGTGGTGCTGCGTTAGTACCATTATTGATGTTTTATATAAATCTTCATTTTAAAAGAACTTTTGACATAAATTTCAACCTTATTTGTGCTTATAAGAAATAGTGTGTTCGTCTACTTAAAAAAAACTCCTGTACATCTTTCAGAGGAGCTGTATCAGACATGAATTATCTAGTGAGTAAATAAATAAATGACAGTATATCTTATCTAATTCATTTCTGCAGAAAAAAGTATCTCTATAGTTACAGTGTCAGTATTTAAACTTCAATTAAACTACCTGTAAACCAACGTGAAATGTAGGTCAGCCAGTCAGTAACAACGTAGAGCTTCGTACGTACGTACATCAGTTCGAGTTGCCACACCACATTAGCACAGAGATGCAGTTGTCGATTCAAATCCCGTAGTGGTAGAGGTAATAAGAGTATAGCAGTAATCGGGAAGATTAGGGTTTGGAGATGTTATTTAAAGAGTATAATCCAGTGAAATAAATTTGGAAAGAGAAAAAAGAACGGGACATGAAGAATTCACAAGATTAGAATTTGGGAGAACAGAGAGAGTGGATGCACCTGCACCATTGCAAACCATTTTGAGCCATGTCATTTAGGGTCTCTAACCATCGGTTGCTATCAACTCGTGGTCCCCAACCAGGTAGTCTACACCTACCAACATGACTCAGTCCACTTGTCAGTGACTTCATGGACTTGTGCCATGTTTTGGTTTGGTCGCCCCTAGCTTTCCTCCAACCTACTCCTATACCACTGAACATAGCACGTCGAGGTAGTCGGTAAGTAAATTTACAGTAACAGAAAAACTTAATATTCTTTACTGTCTGTGTATACACATTATTCAAATAACCGTACCTACCTTGTAGATTTCATTTAACCTGTCTTGTTCACTCAATAATTCTACCAAATGTTTAACACGCTTACATTAAGACAAATTGAACTGCTGCATAATATACGAGGCCTTTGATAACCAGATTAAAATTCTGTACGCATCAATAGGTGATATGTTCAAAGCCCACTATATAGTGACATTGATAATCTCTAAAAACTACAAAAGCGAAGCAACCAAGAAGCTGGTTCCAAACCCTCACAACGTGTTGGAAAATTTTTCTCGAGGAATTGAAAGGATATCAAATAGGATGTCCTTTGTACACTGGCTAGATAATACTCTTGAAAATGAATCATAGTGTAATAAGAAAAAAACGATGCTAAAACTTATTCCTCTACATTTTTTTCGCGATTGATTAAGAAACAGAAGTTTTGACACCCAAGAGATAGAAGTTTCGAACAGTATCTATCGTGAAACAAATAAGGTTTTGTAACTCTAAAAGTTGTTGGTGATTGAATGTGACAGGGATGACCAAGTTTTGAAGAACCGCTAATCTAAGCACAATAATATAAACTTTAGACTTGAGAATCATAATAGAGGATATCTTCAAGTTAAGTTATATTTGCAGATCACAGTGAAACATAAATGTTTCATATTTTTTGTGAATCCCGTTAGGCAAGTTATCATCCAATACGCTTTCTTAATGAATTAAAATTATCATAATCTATTCTGTTGTACTACGTTTATTAATTGCCATTAAGCGAACACAAATCATCAAAAATTCTAAGTTTGTATCAAATCTTCCGAAATGCGTATTATTTACTGAAGATCTACATAGTGACAATCGACATACCAATATGTCAAATGGAAAGAAATTGAGTACGGATTTTGGTCAGCAACAATTGGCAAAACTATAATAATAATGAAATTAAACAATGGATAAAAAAGGTGATCAGGAAAGTCAAGTATCATGGCTAACAGATTGTCACAATGGTAAAAATGATTTATTGATAGCAATACTTTATTGCCACGTCATTCTTTATAATTCCTTACGGCATTTTTGATTCTTGAGCAGTACCCAACTCTGTAGTGTAACATCTTCAACTAATACAATACAATACTATCTTGATTCCCACATTTTCTGATTGACGCATGCTACACAGTAGGAAGAGACTGGTTATATGTTTGAATATTGCTCCCAACATATACATTTTCCCATTTCGATGATTGTCAACAAGATAGCAGCGGATAACGAGTTGGTTCATAAAATAAAATAGCAAAAACCTCAATGTTAGGGATTTTCGCAGCTTTCCAGTAAATTTAAAAAATTGCATCTCTACTCAAACAAAAACTCAAGGTAAAAGTTTTAGAAAATTACAAACTTTATTTATTTGTACAGAAAGTATTTTGTCGACTTCTTTATTTAAAAGACCCATATCCTTAAACATATCAAAAAAAATCCAACACATACTGGGTTTTGCCAGGATGCAATCATATGAAGAAAATATACAGACCATCAAGGATAAGTGAAAATTATTATACATATAAAGTCACTGTACATTTGAATGTTACTTATGAAAATCAAAACTGATCAAGAAGTTTTGGCTAATTTCTCAGAAAAGTCTTCTAAAATTCCGTTCACATGTTCATTGTCTTTAATATGAACTGGACGATTCATGGTACGTTTTTGTCCTGGTTTCTTTCTTTGTACAGGTAACTTTAAAATACACAACAAAAGCAGATTCTGTTCAAACATCAAAATTGTGGAATTTAAAATGAGGAAATTAGAATTACACGTTTATTGAAACTGGTTACTGTTATCTCAGATGGTTTACTACAATTAATTATTAATATGTAGCAAGTACCAATGACAACCGTTTAAACCTAGAAATTTGGATATCATAAAGTCTTAAGAAATATCATTACGACCAATCGACCGAAATTTTATCAAAATACAGAAGGTTAGAAAGAAACTTCTACATAGATTATTTCTCATGAACTGGGCCAGTAATAAAGAAAATATAATCAAATATATGGTTAATTAGATTCATATAATAGTTCTAGTTCATTTTTCTGAAGTATTCAAATTTTTCATGGACATATAAAGATCAAATTCTTGCATACAAGAAAGTGGGAGAAGGATACAGAAATACGATCGAATTAGTAAGAGTGACCCACCCTAAACATCAATTAAAAATAGTAAACTCACAAGATTGAATTATAAGTATAATTATGAATGGTCGTCCATTACGAACAATCATTCCACCGAAAAGTGTAGATAAGCATTGGTTGCAATTGCATGTCGCCATCAAAATGGCGAGTAAACCCGCATGAGGCTTCGCGAAACGTCCTGCTTATAAGCACTGGGTTTCTTCAAGCTCCTTACAACTCATCAAAGCCTGTCGGTCTACTCCGGGTGACCGTGAGTTTGACCACAAACGAAGGATGTTACGTAATGAAATTGGGCAAAGCTTGCGTAAGGACTGAGAAGCCTGTTGGTCGGAGCGTGCTAATGAGCTGGAAGCGACAGCTGCATCTGGTAACTACCGGAAGCCCTTTCAACTCAACCGAGTCACTGGAAGCAAGAGGTGTGGTGTGAGCGAAACAATCTACGAGGATGACGGGACACCAATCGCTAACATCCATTAACGTCTTAGACGATGGGCAGAGTCCTTCGAAGGGCAGTTCAACTGGCCTGCTGCTCCGGCAACATCGGTCAGACTATCCTGCCCTCCATGGTCGGTGACGACTGATCCACCAAATGACGCGGTAGTCCGCAAGGAACTCCAATTATTGAAGCACTACAAATCACCCCGCCCAGATCACTTACCTCCGGCACTTTTTAAAAATGGTGGTGAATTTCTGGCTAAGGAACTGACTACGTTGTTTAAAAGGTCTAGTAACTAGAGTGTGTTCCAACATCGTGGAATGAGTTGATAGTTGTCCCTATCTTTAAAGCGGTTCACAAATTTTTCTGTACCAACTATCAGGGGATTAGTCTACTTCTGATTGCGTCCAAACTATTGGCTTCTGTCATACTTCGTAGGTTGTTCAAAAATCGAGAAAGATTGACTCGCGAGGAGCAGGCTGGTTTTCGTTCTGGTCGAGGGTTGCTCAATCTCACCATTCCTCTTCAACTTTGCCATCGATGACACTCTGGAAACAGCTCTGATGGATGTAAGTAATGGCGGTGTGGATCTGTTGCCTGGAGAAAGACTTCGACCTTGAGTATACGGATAATATTGTCTTACTGTGTGATGATGCCCAAACCATGCAATCTGCACTTAATTAGTTGGCAATCAGTGTCCACAGGTACGGTATGTGCTTTTCACCTTCTAGACTTGCAGGACCCAGACCCTGTACTCACCCTGGATGGTGAGCAGATAGAAGTAGTCGAAAAGTTCGTGTATCTAGGTAGCTGCATAAGTGCTGGTGGTGGCGTGAGTGATGAGACCAATGCACGTATAGTGAAAGCCAGAGCGACTTATGCCAATCTGGGCCATCTTTGGCGCCTTCGTGATGTTAGTCTGGCTGTAAAAGGTCGGATCTACAACGCGTCGGTGAGAGCAGTTCTGCTCCATGCTTGTGAAACCTGGCCTCTCCGAGTTGAGGATGTTAGACGACTCCGTGTTTAGTCTTCGTTGTCTCCGAAGGATTGCTGACAACCAGTGGCAACAACATGTTCGTAATGCAGAGGTTCGGCATCGTGTATTCAGACGGAGAGACGATAATCCAATTGGTGTCACCATCTTGAAACATCGACTTCGGTGGCTTGGACATGTTCTACGAATGTCGTCCCAGAGAATTCCACGTTGTGCATTATTTGCTGACGCTGGGACTGGTTGGAAAAAGCGGAGACGTGGTCAGTGGATGACATGGTGTCGTGGTATGAAAGAAAGCTGCAAAGAGATGACTCCTGTTGGTCCTTCACGACTCCCTGGCTGGGGTCCGAGAGATGGTGTAACGCAGTGGCTAGAGACGTTATCAGATATGGCTCACAATAGAAGCCAGTGACTATCCTGCTGTGACCTTCTTTCACTTTCTTCATAAAAAGTGGTTGTGTCTTCCTTAACTGAAAGAATTCTTCTGGTTGTACCTTTACGTTTCCCCATTATTATTCATCTTATCATTATTATTACACTACCACACACTAATCTGTGGTCGTTATTGTTTTTTTTCTTATATGCACCTTACCTTCTTTTTCTCTTCCCATTCTCATTGTTTTGTGTGACGCATATATATCTGGTGCCCCTCTTGTACCAATTTTTATGTGTTCAAATGAATAAATAAATAAATAGATAAATAAATAATAACGATGCAGTATCAAAACCTGATCATTTTCGTGTTTTGATGCAGTGAGATGACAGATTATATTGTTTCCATTGTAGCTAACTGTTGTGAATATAGAAAGGAGACAAAGTCTAAAAACAAAATTATCCTACGCGAATAAATCACCCAGGGTAGTTTTGGTGGGTGCGCTACAGTATAACAACAAGAATGATGCAAGGTAAAAATCTGTATTGCTCTTGGATATGAATTAATCAATATGGTATAGGAGGCACTTCAACAGCAAATTACTTACTAAGATTAGTCATAAGAATCATAGTCGGCATAACAGTATGGTATTATGAAAAGCAATCAACAATGTATTAATGATCCATAGTAATATATGAATTGGGAAATTACTTTGTTTCCAGTATATACGTGTAGGTAGAATAGTGAAAATACCGATATAAACTTACGAAATTTTTACGATCACCAGACATTGAGGAGATTCCATTACGCTTTAAATACTCCTCAATTTTTGTTTCATGAACACCCTCCACACTGACCGATCGCCATTGTTGCTTAAATTCTACAGGCATACAAAAGAAATCGTAATAATATTGATAATCAATAATTTACAGAAATTAATTATAAAGTATACGAAACAAAAGTGTATTTTATAATCCCAACTTAATCAGTAATGCACATGTATGACCTGAAACACAATTTTCAAACATCTACTTATTGTAATTTGAATTAATTTCTAAAACTAAGTACAAGTTACAAACTAGATTTTTGACAGAAAAGAATAATAGTTTTCATTTCTTTTTTGCAAACATTAACTATGCTTATCAATAACTTTGAAATCTATCCAGTTATTTTAAAGCGGCAAACTGAATCAGAAATTGGACTGATATTAATTGTTGATGCAAAAGTAGTATGAAATACTAAAAATCTACTCGAAAAAAATCGAAAACGATATGGAAAATTGACGCGAACTATACGTTAGCAAACAATTAGAAAAGGATTAGTTTAATACGGCACCGGTAGTTATGAGAAAATGATGAGGGTAAAAGTTTAAGATGATGAAATATTTGAAGAAGTGAGAAAGAATTTGCAAGTTATATAGTAAGTGATGGCTAATTTATTTTTTCCTACTATCATATATTTCGGAATTCATAATCACAAGAACTGATATTTGTAAGTGACATGAAATCCACAAGAAACTGATAGTCTGTTTGAGATATTTGAGATGACAGTCAATCAATAGCAGCGTAGAACCTGGTACGTATATACATCGGTTCAAGTTTCCATACCCCATTAGCACAGAGACGAAGTTGTCAAGTCAAATACCAGAATGGTAGAGGTAGTAACAGTATCAGTGGTAATAGAAAGCATTGGGTATCAAAGATACAACTCCAGAAAATATAAATTAGTGAAATAAAAAAAGGTTATTAGGAACTTAGAATCGCAGAATTTGAGGGCAGACAAAGAATGGATTCGCCTGTGCCATTGCAAACGATTTTGAGCCATTTCATTATGTATCTCTAACCATTAGCTACGGTAATTAAACGGACCGCGGTCAGGTAGTCTACACATATTAAAATGGCTAAATGCAACTGTTAGTGAACTGATGCCATGTTTCGGTCTGACCGCCCCTCGTTTTCTTTCAGCCTACTCCTAAACTACAAAACATTGCGCGTTGAGGTAAGGAGTGGTTGGTCATACGTAACACATTTTCCAACCACCTCAGTTGATGAAGGTTTACTACTTCATTAATCGATTCGCCATCCGTACATATTACCATATTCCTAGCCCTACATAAAACATAAGACGAACTTCTAGTTAGTTATTGTGACTTGTGATCCTGTGCCCTTATGATGTAATGATGCCGCCAATTGGAGAACAGTGAATTGTCGACCGGACCAATGACGCATAAAACCCGTACGAGCAGTCTAGAGTCTTTACCGGTCCTTCTTCGTTCCTAGCCCCGCCTGTTAAGTCCAGAACACCAACCTCAGCCTCCATGATATGAATCATGTATTTCAAACATACTGGGTTTTTATCCAAACCAAAGAGACTACATCGCATCACAAAAAAGGAAACATCTTACAATATTAGCCAAAAGTGGCTGTGAATGTGGAATACTGTAATTAATAGACTGGGCATAACTCAACAACGGCAAATCACATAATAATAGTCTATGGGTCAAAATAAAGCTTTGATTAAGAGGAACATGAATATGCTTACTTTAGCTACTTTATAATTATACAACAAAAATATATGTATCGTATTGGTCCACAAATAGTTCTCAAAATTTACCATTCATAATTCTCGTCGGGATATAAACACTAGTAAAGTAGCCTAATTAGTCGTCATTTTGCAGAGTTTCTAATACATTTGTATTATTTATTTACCTTTCAGAGGAAACAAATAAACCTACTGCTTTTTTGAACACTTCGTTAACAACTAATTTTGTGTTAAATTCTGGACGTCTAAACATGTCTATCGAAGAACCCTAATTAATAAGTCAACCATCTTTGGAACGTTTAAAAACATTGGGCATTTTTAGGAAATTTCAATTAATTTCACTCAGTAGAAAAATCAGACACATTTACTGTAACCGATACACTACGATTTACCAATGAACCTAACTAACCGCATATCAAAATGCAGAAGTCACTTTCTCTACCCTTTCAGTGCTATGTATCATAATCAATTTATGCTTGAATTAAATGAACTGTCGGTTTTCTGTGGAACAACACAAACTGCTGATCATTCTCACTTTGAGCGCATTAATAACTAAAGGTGATAAATATTAGCACTATAATAAACAGACCGAATAATACAGGTTTTAGTTTAGAGATAAGACTTCAATTTATTCTGAGTGACTTTGATGACGTACAACAATAGCAATGAATATCAAATTTTATACGTCTTTGAGTGTAACAAAATAAATTTAATAAGTGAGGTATTGTATTTCTATAAAATGATTGTTTTGTTTCCATCCTTACTTCATGTACAATTTAATCATTTGTCTCTTTATTAATTTCTAAACTATTCCTTTATGTAACATTGTATCATTGACTAAGTGTTATTTATACAGGTAAAATCCATGAAAATTACTCATGAAAGTAATTTCTCTGAAAAGGTATTTAAAATTCTTTCAATCAATGTCTCTATGATACGCCCATGATATTTAAACTATTCTCTTTTGTTGTTTTCTAAAGTTTATAGTTCATTATTTGTAGCATTAAGTGATTATTTCTTCCTGGTTTTATCCTACTAACAAACAGAATTTTTATCATGATTTGTATTGATTCAACTTGATCACTAACTGGTCAATTTTCTAGTACTTTTGCCCCTTAACTAATCTACGACAGATAAGAGGACCAATATTCTTGTTTCATAAATTTACGGGAAACAGGTGAAGATTAATTGTGTATTCAATTAGCACTCTCAGTTGCTTACAACCACTTCTTCACCCAACTTAAGACTCAAAACAAAGACTTGATGCACAAATGAATATGAATAGGCTTATATCAGTGCACACTTGATAATCAAAAATTATCCCAGAAATGTGTCTGTGTAGAATTCGATGAATTACTACAACTGATTCAGGTTGCAAAACAACCAATTAAAACAGAACGGATGTGAAGTCAAGGGATCCAGAATATAAAAAATGTAAGCAGGTTTAAAGTAAAAGTTTAATTCAGTGATATAGATCAGTGACATATTCATTAACAGTACTACTCTAATAAGGTAAAAAAATTAGTAGTCCACTATCTCTAACTACAGAATTGCGAAAATACCGGGAAATGTGGCTACAATTATCCGATTATCACTATATTACCACAAAGTAAGCTAAACTTGATGTAGGACTTTTGGTTTCTATGTGATAGAAATTGGCTAAAATTTTGCCTCAATGTTAATTAAAAAATATCAAGAGTTGGTTGGACGATATCATTGACAGAAAATGCTCAAAATAGATATCATTGAATTAAACTTCTATATTATATATTTTTTCTTCTATTCTGGATCCTTTTACTGAACATCCACTTCATCCGTTGTTTTAACTGGTTGCTTTGCAACTTGCATTAATTGTAGTAATTCATCAGGTTAATAGTTAGCACACACTGCACAGTCGTAAAGAAGTTCTATTAAATCCTTAGAAAACTATAAAATAACACTTCTAAAGACTGGAATATGTACAGAAAACACTATTTTAATTTTTATATGAGTTATGCACCGGAAATCACGATAAGTGAATCGAGAGATTAGAGGCTAGATACAGATGAAAACGGAAGTTATAGTAATACATACGCTGTTCATTTACACCTACCTTCATCTACATTTAAATCGAACGATTTGTCGTTGTAAAACAAGATGGTTTTCTTATCGTGTGGTGTGACAATGCGAATCACATGGTCACCAAAACTCTGAACAAGTAAAAAAAGCGAAGAAATATATGCACAAAATACAAAAACTATTGAAAAAGAAATCATAAGATACAGAAGTTAGATGAAGAAATATTTAACTATGGATTGATTGAAAAATGAATGTGTTAACTATATGTGAAATTGTATGGAATAATTCAGAATAGAGAATAGAAATAGAATAATTTAATCCCATATCCCTTATATTAGGTCGAACGGTTGGACTGACAAAGTATAGTCGCTTATTATGTGACATAACACTGTATTACTAACACATTTTCAACACTAATCTATTGAGGATTCTAAGTACATCAAAAAATCTCAATGTGAGTATAGTCTTTTTTGATGAAGATGAACATTAGAAATACTGAAAGAGTAAACATGAATTTACTAAATAGTAACGCTTAATGGATTATCTAATAGTCCATCTCGTCAGTTTTTTAAAATTTCATCAAACGTTACCATCACCTTTTAATGGATCATATGGTAAAACAGCACTTTAGTCGCTTAGTTTTCAAGACTGAGGTTAGAGTTTCTCGTTTCAATCCAATTACCCAAGTTTAATTAACAAGATACTATTATTAGCCCTCAGGTACTAGAAAGAGATCAGTTCATTACTAGCTCCAGATATAATTAGACTAAATCTGACAACCTCATATTAATATACCCAGTTGAAGGAGGCAGAGTTGTGACAATGGTTTTTAACAGTGAGCCAAATAGACTTGAGACATTCAGCATTATGAAATTTATGAGATGAAAGAACTACCTTAGACGTACAAAATAATTTATAACAATAAACGAGAACTTTAACATTAAGAGGAAGCAAGCTTTAAGATAGTCTTCTAAATTTACTTATTAATGGATAACTTTTGTTTACTAACACTCAACAAATTATTACTGACATCACCTAACTATAAATCAGTGACCACAATCACAATGATATTACAGGTAAAACTCTTGAAGAGCTCAATGAAAAAGGAATTTTCATGAGTGAGATGGAAATGTAGATGTGCAGACTGGGAACACAAAGTGGTCAGATTAAGTTCATGATTAAATCACGCTACCAGTAACGAAGCAGCGAAATTCGAGCTTTAACGGTGCTAATATTCTAATCTGCGATAATGTATTTGTGAATTAAAACGGACATATCTACTCAGTTGTCTTTAGAATTCTAAATTTCCTGTCCATATAAGTGTCTGACGATCTACAGATAGTGAGTGTGAAAATAAACTCATCTACAAAATCAATTTACACAAATTGAAAAGCAAATCCAAACTATCATATAGAGTAAACCAGATTCAATTAATTTCACTTAAATTTCCGTTCTCTACCTGAGGTTTTTATTGGGGACAAATAGTTACCTGAAGGTAGGTAGAACAATAACCTAATAACTTCATGTCTTCAATTAAGAACAAATGTTACAACCACAGAACATAAGGGAATACACAGGTGTGCTGAGCATCGGGAATACTGAATAAGTAGGTTAACTTCTTGTCAGCGCAACAGGTGGGATAGATTAAAAAATAAAAACCGAATTTTATGTGTAGGGCTGAGAGTTGACTTGGATCTTACCAACTTGTGTTCATATAAATACAGAAATAGATAGAACAGATACGAAATTTTCAGAAAGTATACAACAGAGTATGCAACGACAACCACATAATTCAGATGCATACTATCTACTGAAATACATTTTGGATCAAAAGTGATTTGCTTACATTGAGAATTTTTTCAACATCAGGAACAGATTCAGTCAAATCATCTAGATAAATTCCCCCCAAACCCTTCAACTCCTGACGACGTAGAAGTTGGTAAAGATCCTTACGGGTACGAATATCATATCTCGGTTTAAATACGAACTTTGCATCCGTAGTAACACGAATTTTGGGATTATTTGGTAGAGCCTAATATAAAAATATTGCAATTAGAGTTAAATTACTTCTTCCTCAAGCCATTTTACGGTAGCAGGTGGTGTGTCATGAAGTACAGCTTCTTCCAAAATTTCTTCTACAGATAATGGATGAGTATCGCCTTCTAAATGGCGTTGCTATGAGAAATTATAGCATACGGTACGTGGCAAACCTTCATGTACTTCACTATTCGAGATAAAACAGCAAACTTCCCTTGCAATTGAGGTTTTAATTCGAGAGATCGCAATTCCGAAACAGTAGAAACTGAAGGAGGTCCACGGCGGTGTACAGAAGTCACAGCACCTTTTTCCTCTGAAGTACCAGAAAAATTAGACTTTGGTTTCTCAACAACAGGAATTGTCATGGCTCTCTTCAAAAACGCTTCCCTCTCTTTTATAAGGCTTGGATTCATCTTCAGAGCCTATCACAGAGCTAAAACGAAAAAGGAACATCTTCTATAAGATTAATTTCATATCATAAAACACTAATGACAACTGGATTTAAACTCGTTAATTTGTCTTTTTATCGCCTCATAATTTGGCATCAGATCCTGAATAGAATGTAGGACAACACTAAGATCCAAATAATAAACAAGATTGTTTAATAGTGCATGCTTTGTTGTATTATGCATTGCAGTGCTATGGTGGCAATAGTTTTGATTTCTTTATTTAAAACACACACATTGTGGTACAACTGGGGACCAAAGTGTGTGCCGAAATAATATTGGGAAAAAATAGGAGGAAGAGTACAACCAAAAAATAATGATGTGGTTAGTAGTAGTAGTAATATAATAGGAGATACGATCCAGTTAAAAATACAAACAATAAACGCTATTTTTGTAAGTAGAGCCCCTCTCGCTTTTATGATGAATCAAAAAGAAAACTAAAGTAGGATTGCTACTGGTTTTTACCATGTCGTGTCTGGTAACATCGCAAATTAACGAGTTACACGACTTCTCAGACCCCGACCGAAGCCGTATTGGATTGCCAGATCAGTCATATACAACTTTCTCATTTCACATTATTATGTTATAGACTAATCCCATCTCCAATTTTTCACTCAGTCCCGGTGTCAGAAAAGAATGCGTATATGAACAACGCTGGAATGAAATTCGTAAAGCACGTCCAAGCCACCGAAGCCAGTGTTTTTAAATTGTGACACTCATTAAGTTAACATAACCCGAACCCAAATTCTCGAACATAGGAACTGTCGAAATTGTTTTTTGTCGGTAATCCTGTGGAGATGACCATAAACGAAAATAGAGTTGCTGAACATTGGTTCGGACACCAAATTTCAAAAAACATTGTATAGGATCGCTCCCACTGACGCTGTACAAGCCCGACCCTTTAAAGCCAGGTTAAAATCACGAGGACAACACAGGTGGTCCATATTAAGATATACCGTTCCGGCCTTTCTTAAATGTAAAGTTATTTTATCTATTAAATTAAATTAACTCATCTGCCAGGCACTTGAATGTGAACCGCACTTTCATTGTGAGGGGGTAATGATACTATCCGATTTCCCAAACTGAAATAGGTGGGGGTCCAAACCGGGGACATCCCCACTACTACCACTCACATAACTAACGAAATACGCGAACATTACGACTATTTCCGACGGCTTATTACAAAGAGTGTGCGCAAGTATAAGTTTCTGCTGATCTTAGGAAAGTGCTTTGAACTTAAGTGATAAATATATGCTGCAATTGGAGATACTAATTAAGTCCGACTAAGATAGGTTATGTATCATCGCAAAATAAGACAATGAACCGAAGATCAGAAAATTTTTCCAGATAGCAGATCTAGATCACCTAATTCCGTAAGAGGTTTCCAGAATATCATCGAAGGCAAAGGTGAAGAAAGGTGTTTATATTGAGCAGCCTTTCCTAAACCCACTCCTGGACTAAAATAATGTACATTACAGGTATACATATAGCATATCTGAGTATATTCTAATGGTATGAAGATATTTGTATAGGAAAATTGGTCAGTTTATATCAAGAATTATTGGGATAAAATAAATTTGAGTTTGACTGGCATATTTACGCACATTACAACACCCCGGCTAGAGTCTTAATGATAATGGGACCCAGTGACTTGCAGCATGATTATATCACCTACCAATAAAGAACCACTGAGTAAATCACCCAGTGAAGATTGGTAAACAAACTATTTACTACTAAATATATAAAGCTACTGCAATTTAGTGTCTTGCATCTCATCGAAGCCCGTCGGTCTACTCCGGGTGACCGTGAGTTTGACCACAAACGAAGGATGTTACGTAATGAAATTGGGCAAAGCTTGCGTAAGGACTGAGAAGCCTGTTGGTCGGAGCGTGCTAATGAGCTGGAAGCGACAGCTGCATCTGGTAACTACCGGAAGCCCTTTCAACTCAACCGAGTCACTGGAAGCAAGAGGTGTGGTGTGAGCGAAACAATCTACGAGGATGACGGGACACCAATCGCTAACATCCATTAACGTCTTAGACGATGGGCAGAGTCCTTCGAAGGGCAGTTCAACTGGCCTGCTGCTCCGGCAACATCGGTCAGACTATCCTGCCCTCCATGGTCGGTGACGACTGATCCACCAAATGACGCGGTAGTCCGCAAGGAACTCCAATTATTGAAGCACTACAAATCACCCCGCCCAGATCACTTACCTCCGGCACTTTTTAAAAATGGTGGTGAATTTCTGGCTAAGGAACTGACTACGTTGTTTAAAAGGTCTAGTAACTAGAGTGTGTTCCAACATCGTGGAATGAGTTGATAGTTGTCCCTATCTTTAAAGCGGTTCACAAATTTTTCTGTACCAACTATCAGGGGATTAGTCTACTTCTGATTGCGTCCAAACTATTGGCTTCTGTCATACTTCGTAGGTTGTTCAAAAATCGAGAAAGATTGACTCGCGAGGAGCAGGCTGGTTTTCGTTCTGGTCGAGGGTTGCTCAATCTCACCATTCCTCTTCAACTTTGCCATCGATGACACTCTGGAAACAGCTCTGATGGATGTAAGTAATGGCGGTGTGGATCTGTTGCCTGGAGAAAGACTTCGACCTTGAGTATACGGATAATATTGTCTTACTGTGTGATGATGCCCAAACCATGCAATCTGCACTTAATTAGTTGGCAATCAGTGTCCACAGGTACGGTATGTGCTTTTCACCTTCTAGACTTGCAGGACCCAGACCCTGTACTCACCCTGGATGGTGAGCAGATAGAAGTAGTCGAAAAGTTCGTGTATCTAGGTAGCTGCATAAGTGCTGGTGGTGGCGTGAGTGATGAGACCAATGCACGTATAGTGAAAGCCAGAGCGACTTATGCCAATCTGGGCCATCTTTGGCGCCTTCGTGATGTTAGTCTGGCTGTAAAAGGTCGGATCTACAACGCGTCGGTGAGAGCAGTTCTGCTCCATGCTTGTGAAACCTGGCCTCTCCGAGTTGAGGATGTTAGACGACTCCGTGTTTAGTCTTCGTTGTCTCCGAAGGATTGCTGACAACCAGTGGCAACAACATGTTCGTAATGCAGAGGTTCGGCATCGTGTATTCAGACGGAGAGACGATAATCCAATTGGTGTCACCATCTTGAAACATCGACTTCGGTGGCTTGGACATGTTCTACGAATGTCGTCCCAGAGAATTCCACGTTGTGCATTATTTGCTGACGCTGGGACTGGTTGGAAAAAGCGGAGACGTGGTCAGTGGATGACATGGTGTCGTGGTATGAAAGAAAGCTGCAAAGAGATGACTCCTGTTGGTCCTTCACGACTCCCTGGCTGGGGTCCGAGAGATGGTGTAACGCAGTGGCTAGAGACGTTATCAGATATGGCTCACAATAGAAGCCAGTGACTATCCTGCTGTGACCTTCTTTTACTTTCTTTATAAAAACATTGGTTGTATCTTAACCTTATCTAAAAGAATTCTTCTGGTTGTACCTTTCCGTTCCCTTATTATTACGACCATTATTATTACACTACCTTACACCAATCTCTTCCTTATTGTTCTTTTTTTACCCTCCTTACTTTTTTTCTTTTTACTTCTCTTTAAATTCTCATTGTTTTGTGTGGCGCATATATATTTGGCGCACTCTTGTACGAATATGTATGTGTTCAGATAAATAAAAAATAAACAATAAAACATGATAAATGTAAGAGAGCAGACAGAATGCATGGTAGAAGCGTGTATATAAATATGCCAATTGAAAAGAAAATAAGCGTGTTAGAGTATCGTTGGATGAGCTAAAATTGTATTAGAGGTATGCTGGTAGTCTTCCCTTCTCGTCTGTCTACATTACGAAATATTTTTTGAGAAACCTGAAAAGGAAACTGGTTTAATAGTGGTTTTGACTAATTGGAAGTGTGAATGGAAAGCCGAAGAGACACCTGATTAACCCTAATCACACAGGATTTTTGTGAGCAACTGTCTATGCACTCGTTCCGTACTTTTTTTGGGCCTTACTGCCCAAACTAAACATCCATGGGGCAAAGTGAGTTGTGGTATTTTTAGGGTCAGATTTCCTTCGTTTTGGGAAGGCAGCATCATCGGATGTGTTAGTTATCCGTGTGTATCGCCTGACTGTCATTACAAGTCAGTAAAACTTTTCGCGCAGACTTTAGATTTGCTACTTTTGTTTTTACCACTATCTAACCAATCTGCCTGTACGGTAGAACCCAAAAGAATAAGTGTTTCAACCAATGTAACTTGATTAGGCTGTCAATCTAGACAGTCCTGAATATCAAGGCAGCAACTAAAGTTGAGTCAATGAATGATGTCGTAAAAACTAACAGCTTTTTGACACACTGAATTACTTCAACAATCCTTTCTTAACGTTTTTATAACTACTGTATTTAACCTAAGTTGTCCCGTTGATTAATAAAGCTTTAATGTAAGATACAACACTTGACATCTACAACAAAATAGCAACACATTAGAAGCTATGACAGGTAAGAAATGTCTATCACTGTTCATGACAAAAATTCTCCATAAAATTAACATTATTGTACAAGCAGTACTTCAATATAGTACCTCAACTCGAATTTTCTTAATCTTTGTTCTACTAAGTTTTCTCAAACTACTATACTTCACTGCAAAGCCCTTCAGTAAGTTAGTTACAACTTAGGACCAGACACATGTATGCATTGGTCCAAGTTGACACACATCATTAGCACAACAAAATTGGCATCGAATTCATAGAAGTAGTTACTTCAATGGTAGCAATATATAAAATAAACATTGCATATAATGATATGATACAGGAAGAATTAGTTCGTAGGAAGAAAGATATGAAATAATTTTAATCTGATAGTTTAAGGGATCAGTCAGTCAGTCATCGGTTCTGTTACACATAGATGAAATCAAGATAAGGGGATAAATGAATCAGATAGTTCAGAGATTGGAAAGACCCACATAAATTATCTGGATGGTCTAGAACTTGGTCACTGTTAAATAAGTCCATCATGATTCAAGTTGGTCACCTAGGTGTAGATACATACACAGTGAAGTGTTGAACTACCATTAGTCCTCACAGTGATCAGGGAGTCATTGTTAAACAAGACTTGAAAACTAATAGACATCTCTGTGCAATAGCTGCTAATAGTACTAGAACCTTTTGACTAATGCGTACAATTTTTAGCCATGGAGATATTAAGACGACTTGGTGGTGTTCGTTTGACCTGAACTACAATACTTCGTACAACCGATCAGCACCTGGACAAAAAAGAAAGGGGAACCGTCGGGAAATGTTCAAAACATCGCAACTAAGCTTAGGTTTGAAAGCCCAAAGTCGACGTAAGACGAGTGACTAGATAAACAGAAACTATTACCTATGTTATACAAAAGGACTAGAGGTGACATAAATACTTTGAAAACTACATAATAATATCAGTATGCACTTGACACAAACGCATCATTTTTATCCTCCAGAAATGGAGATTTGTGAGGACACCCCAAAAAAGTTCACAAGCTCAGGAACAATTACTTATCAGATGAATATCGGATCTCTTGCAAAATTACCAACCAGTGGAACTGACTGACTGAAAATAAGGTAAAGGCTTCACATATAGATGCAATTAAGAGCTTGGCCACCTGAGAGACCACTTTTGCTAGGAATAGCACAGGCCATTTAGCCTACTATCTTTCCTATACTGGGAATGTCAAGTTTTGTATACAGCCAACAATATCTTGAGGGTGTGGTTTAAGAGAGTATTCTCAGATTGGTTGATCTATAAGATGAGCGGACAATAGCCTATAAAAAGCCAACACAAGCTTTATTTTTATTTGCAACTTGAGATTTCGTCACAATCCGTCTCCAGCTTCGGTGTGATGAGACTCATCTCGGATAACTCAATTAAAATTTGAGAACCCTTCATTGCTAGAAAGAATAGATTAAAATTAATCAAACGCTTTACATCAACTTAACGAAAGATAATGAACGTGAAAAGTATAGGTCGATAGACCTCTTATCCTTATTACTGAAGACTGAAGACTGCTTACAACTACAAGGTAATGTAGCGTATTGTTTGGATGGATTATAAATAGACTTCAAACTTCAAACTTCCCAAGGCTAAATCACCATACTGTTTGTTCCCTGATCTATGTGTTTAGGCGGTAGAAACAACACTCTTGATTATAGGGAGGTATAATCCTTGGTATTTTTCTTCTGGAAACCAATTTGCGAGGACAATTTTGTTAATGAGGGCAAGGTAAGACAATGAGTAATACCCTCCAATGCCTACTGAGTTAAAGTAATCGTCAATTCTTGTTTCAAGACGTTCACAGGAAGGCACAGTCACTGTAAATTCCTACAGACAGTTTCATAACGTACTGGTGTGAATTAAGAAAAGGGTTGTACGAACTTTTATGTGGGCTTGTTAGTGCTGTACTCAGAAAAAATGACATGTTATGTGTAGCTTATTACCGAGACGAATTAGTGATTTATTATTGTGTGGAAAGTTTTAGATGATACAGCGTACCATGGTGATATCTCGATCAATCCTCACGTATTTCAATGATAGTAAATCTAGAGCTTTCAGGCTAACAGAGTAGGATTATAAATAAAAATAAATGTATTTGTAATATCCCAATGAGTAGAAAATTGGATTTTCTGACGTTTCGTGACTTAGTGTAAGTCACTTCTTCAGAGAATAAATAACCAAATTAAAATTAATCCAAGTTTAAATAGTACAATGGAACAATGCAAGAATAATATTTGATCAATCAAAAACAGGTCTGAACAAGTTGATGTCATGTCATTTCTGTCAAGGTGATTCATAAGTGATCTGTATGTAAATTTGTGTGTATGTATATGTGCATTGTTAAGAATGAAAACTTCTGTGACCTTTATGGTAAGAAAGGATAGAGTTTAAATTTGTAATATGATAGTGTGAAATTGTAAATACGATCAGACTGAATGGCTAGGATAGATGGTCCAAGTAGGATGTATGGTAAGACCTTCCTTTCTATTGAGAGAAGTAGGATTAAGCATTATATGGAACGCCTCAGCTACCCTCCTTTCTTTGTAGTTGGAAAAGCCTTTTTGCAATATTTTGATATTTTTAAAATCGATTTGGTGGTTGTTGAAAATGGCATGAACTGCTATTGCCGATTTAATTTGAAGTTGGTTCAATTCTACAGGATTGTTAGGAGGTTTCTTTGTGTACCTAATATGTTCTTTGGCTCTAGTCACGATTTCGCGGGATGACTCTCCAATATAATAGGCATCACAATCGATACAACCTAATTTGTAGACGCAGTTCTGTGTGGACATGAACGGGATTTTTCTTTCAGGCGAACTAAAGTATTACGTAGTGTGTCCGTTGTTTTGTAATACACTTTAATTCTGTGATGTTTTAAGATTCTTTGGATTTCTTCTGTTGTGCCATGACGGTATGGTAGAACTACAGTACCAATCCATGGCATTTCATTCGAATCATTATTATAATGTAATAAACTGTTTGTTTTAATATGCTTCTAATAATCTTCATAGGAAAATTATTAAATTGTAGGATGCTAATTATATTCATTTGTTTTTTTTGTTTGTCTTCCTCTGATGTGATGATCTTGTTAGCTCTTCTAAAAAGATTTAAGGCTAGCGAGATCTTTGCACTGAAAGGATGTGCTGAATGGAAGTCAATATAACGATTTGAATGCGTCGGTTTTCGGTAAATGGATAGGTTTAGACTTCCATTTGGATTTCTTTTTACTAAGCAATCCAAGAATGGTAGCTCACCATGTACATTTTCATTTTCATTCGTGAATTTGATGTGCGATGAAAGTGTATTTATTCGTTTTGAAAAAGATCTTAGATGAGTCTTTTTTATAACAACAAATGTATCATCTACATATCTAAGCCAAATTCGTGGTATAATGTTGTGGGCGAAGATATTTGATTCTATGTATGCCATAAAAAGGTTGGCTACAATCGGGGACACGGGGGATCCCATCGCTACACCGTTAGTTTGTTTGAATAACATACCGTTAAAAGTAAATAGCGTTGAATTTAAGCAAAGTTTTAAGGATTTCATGATTAGACTGATGCTCAACGGACATCTGTCAGGAAGAGTATTGTCGTTCTCAAGTAAACCACTAATGAATTCTAAGCATTTATCAATGGGAACACTTGTGTATAAAGAAACGACATCAAAGCTTACCATGATTTCATTCTTCTCGATGATTAATCCGGATAATTTTGATTTAAAGTCATATGTGTCTTTAATTATATTATGTAAGTTGAGTTGCAGTGGTTTTAATATGTTGCTTAAATATTTTGATATCTGGTTTGAATATCTGGTTTATGAATTTTTGGTAAGCCATAAAACCGTGAGACACTACATGACTTGGGATGCAACGCAAACCAAAGCGAGACCCCAACGATTGGCTTTAGCTCGTTCAGAAGTTGATTTGTTTCTAATTTGACTTTATTCTTAATCGTTAGAGAAGTTTTTGGATTGATCTTTTCATAAGGTCCTGTTGAGAGATGTTCAAGAGCTTTATTAATATAATCTGTTTTATACATGATTACTGTTGTGTTGCCTTTGTCGGCTTTTGCGATGATAATCGTTTTGTCTTTTTTAAGTGAATGCAGAGCCTTCAATTCTTCTTTGAAATGTTTGGTGTAATGTGTTTTTGTTCAGTCAGAATATGGGATGTCTTTTGACGTAGTAAATGCGACTCTTTTTCCGGTAGTTGTGCGATCATTGGTTCTATAATTGGAGCAATTTCAAGAGTGCTAAGTGGTTTTCTGTGTAAATTGAAATTTAATCCCTTCTCTAGTAGAGTGATTTCGTGACTGTTTAAGTTTCTGTTAGAGAGATTGTGAACAGTTCTTCTTAGATCATTCGAAATGTATTTTATTGTTGATGTTTTCTTATCTTTCTTCCTTTCTTTGATGTTTTCGAATTTTTTAATTTGTCGGAGTTTCGATGAATTTAAATAGTGGCGTTCTCTTTCTATAAACAGGTTGGATATCGTGGTTTGTAATTCGGTTGGGATTAAAAGCTTCAGTAAGTCATCAAGGTTTTTGATTCGTTCACGATATTTTTCCAGTAAATGAGTAGGATTAGTTTGTTCGGCTATTGCGCCTTTCTAGTTGCTGTCCTTTGAATAAGCGTCGGGAGGAAAGTATATTTAGTAAGGTAATAGGACAACTTCCAACAGCATCTGGCCGACAAGCCTTAATTTAAGAAAAACTTTCAGTAATTTCGATTTGAGGATACTCAGGGAAGTAATAACAGGAGTGATAAATCAGTATTAGTTGAATAATGGCAGTGTGAAGAAACACAAAGTGTATAATATAATGCGACTGTCAGATTCTTCAGAGTGGTGAGGAGTGTAATATGGAAACCACCCAGAGAGTAACATTTGGGTAGAGAGCTAAATTTTTTTCATTATCATGATTCTACATATATTAGTATTGTGAGTGAGGAAGTCCTGAAAATTTAGTAATATAGCGTGTGAAAGTCTGTAAGGCCAGTGAAATGTCACTGGGTCGTAGCCAAATCACCCAGCAGTCGGTTCGCTGAATGTTGAACAACTCACTGATCCTCGTCAAGTTCAAGAACGACCAACGCGCACCAGTTAATTGCACGCCATGGACTGATTCATGCAGCAATTGTCCCTTTCATTTCTTTGTACGTACTCTTACTAATATATTTATGTGACAATGTCGTTTGTGTTGTACAGTCATCAAGCAGCCATAGTACTTAGATACGGCGAAAGTGCATTCTGCATCAGGCACTAACCGCGAGGTGTGACTTCGACGATACTTGCCCGCAAATCATTCGACGCAGATCATCTACGTTAGTGATCTACAAGTCTCCTTGAGAAGTCTGGATCCCAACCTGTTTAGATATTTTTGTAAACATTTAGTTTAAAGACGTTTGGTGAGCCGCCAATAAACAATGACAAAATAAGTAGTGCAAAATTGGGCTTTCAGCCTTTCATCTATCGTTGAAGACAAGTCAGACAATGCAGAGAGAATTCTGACACCGTTTAATCTGTCACTTAGTTAACCTGAGATTCACATAATCAAACAGACGCTTATACACATGGAATCCAGTTTCTTTAATTGAACTCAATGGTCTTCTCTACCGAATATTTTGGAAAAATCTGGGAGACCAACATACAATAAATGGTTGTTTCAGGGGGAGGTCCCAGGTATCCTAAGTAGCTAAAAGACTTGTGTTGTGATCCACCTATAAGGACACAATGTCCTGAATTAAAGTAGATAGATATATTGAGCATTTAGTTAATGATTTATTTACGGCTCTCCATGAACCACAATAACTCGAGAACCAGGGAAATTTTAGAAAATAGTGACTGCCATCATCTATATCAAGCGATGACCGACTTGTCTTAAGAGATACACAAGTAATAAGCCAGCGTCTTCTAATGTTTTGTCGGAATAAATGCAGATGAGCCTACATGCCCAAACGTTTTTTATTCAGGCACGCTGGGTGGTATTTTCAGGCTATGAATTTTTGTCACCAAGTCCGTAAAATCAATGTTTAATTTGAAGTCGGTATCTGAGAACAGAAAAGTACGTTGAAATTACTCGACGGTAATTTCTGGCAAAAATCCGCTCCCATGAACTCTTTGTAAGGGTAAAAAATGGACTTTTCAAAGTAGTCGGGGCTCCATATGGTCTTCAAAATACACCGGCCGGACTACAGCCACAGTTATTCCCGACACCACACCATAATACGTACCAGTGTCCTGTAATGAGGCGTGAAATTTCGTGAACTCTTAGTGAGGCGACTGTATAAGGCACGGCCCAATCACTCAGTGTCAGATTTATCATTTCGAAACCCACAGCGTTTGTCAATTGATCAGTATGATTCATCAAAGTCACATTTGGTTTAAAGATACTACAAGTATTCGGAGTTTGACTACGTCTTTACTTATAATATCTTTATAGTTGAAGCATACCAACTAGATGATTCAGAAGTCAGAAATGAAGGAGTTCGAAGATATATTTGGAAGGCTATTGGTATGTCGAGGGACGTTTGGTCTAAAGGATTCACAGCACGGTATACTGGCTCGTAGTCTGGTGTGGGTACGTGAGCAGACGCTTTCAGCTATGTGGGTCCAGTTAAACTAATGCAGTCAGCACCAAATCTTGAAGACTAACAAAGCTAGTGATTTTGGGGAT